TATGTCATGGATAAGAAGGATGGGCTATAAAAAAAGATGTCTTCTACTCTTGGAGAAGATTTAAAGAAAGGGTAGTAAAGATAGGAAATTTGAGTTGTTGGATTGTTAACAAGTTCCTCAATTTTATCACATAAACAAAACCTAACCATAGTTTTTATCTTCAGCAAATTAAACACATTCTGTAATAATGTTGAAATCAGTTGAAACATGAAATTCTGGCCTAAAGGAAATTCTGACATTTGTTAGCATTCCATTTTCTGTAACAAATACTTGAGCTAGATTTTGAAGGTTTCAAACCCATGGTTTGTTGACATCGTTGCTTTTGATTCTCTGATGATGGGTCAGAAAATCTTGTCAAGAAACTGTGATAAAACTATTTACTTTGTGGCTTGGATGGGACTTGAGAAGGGGCCAGGATCCTAATAGCCCTTCAAAAGTGTGTACTTTATAGCCTGAAAACATCACATGGTGATTCACATTTTACATTTTTTTTATCTCACAATAAATAGGGATTAATCCTTTAAAACATGACCTTTTGGGGGGACATATAATATTCAAACTACAGTATGTCTCATAATAGGTATCTTTAAAAATATTTGTTGGACACAGGGGGGCACTTTATTGTATATCGAATGCTTAAGATCTAACCCAGCATCTAAGAAAAAGATGCAAAGAGATTATAAATCATAAAGTGCGATTTAAGTTACTCATTTTTCCATAGTAGTTTAATTTTTGCAAGCCATATTTATGTTCATTTACTAGGTATCATCATTTTTCAAAAATGTATACATGTATGTTTGTATGCATGTAAAGGCCACAGGATAACCCTTAGGAGTCACTGCTTTCTTTCTACCAACGGTTTTGGAGATGGAACACATGTCATGCTTGGCTATTTTCTGAGCCATCTCACTGGCCCAGTTTCTTAGTTATTTCCATTTTACACTCAAACAGATCAAGGCCTCTTTTGGATACTTAACTGATGTCATATGATTGAGAAGTAATCACAACTTGAACTAACGTCCTCTGAGACCAGGGTTAAGTTTTTTTCCACATTCCGGTTGCATTGTGCTGTGTTTTGAATGTGACATGACTTCACAGACTTGAGTTTGAACACTTGATCCTCAGTTGGTGGTGCTATTTGGGAAGGTTATGATATGTTTAGGAGCTGGAATTTGTCTTCTAAATTCAGAATTTCTCAAATTGTGACTCTTTTATAGTGGAATAATTTAATAAGTTTAATAAAAATATTATGAGTATTTCTGGAAATTTTTGTTAGGATATTTGGAGCAATGCTATGGAAACTATAGTATTCATTTCATACTTCAGACAATCTTTCCTAATTATTAATATGTCACAACATTCCTGACTTTCCAGTATATATTTGTACATGCTGTCTCTTTTCTTAGTTCAAAGGTCATAAATGACACAATGTAGGAGGAAAGGTCCTGCTAATTTCTAGTGACAGTGTTCAGATGAGTGTTAGATGTATTGCATGGGAAAAAAACCAACATTGATCAAAGCTCAAAATGCTGCAGATTTTCAATTTCAGAGGACTCTTGGACTTGATATTTTTTCCAATTTTATTTTTACAAGTAGGGCTCGTCATTATTTCTTCCATGGTTTTCTCCTTTCCAGCCAAATATAACCCTTGTAGTATCAGAGCCTTGTATGACTGCCATGCCCGTGAATCAGGTGAGTGCACGTCATCTGTTCTTAAGTAGTATTATCATTAGCCATATATTAACCACCTTTCAAAGAGAAGTAGGCATAGGATGTTCCAAACTGTCCTCGTTCTTGTGCCCTAGAAAATCTACATCCTAACAAGCAAGGACAGTGATAGAAAAATGCCAACATTCTCTCCCTTCTTCAGTTTTCATGCGGATATCCTAATAATCATCAGCATTATACTTATAACAATGATAAAGAATCCGAAATCTTAATCCAGGGTAAAACAGCCTGCAAATCACAGCTTTGCAGACTAGAATAAAAGCCCTCCCTACAGGCTTATGAATCCAGTTACACTCTTACATAATCTTTAGTGTTTTTTTTTTTTTTGTTACTTGTAGTTGAAAATAGACTGAGTGTTGCAAGTTGATCACTCTTCACCATGTACTGGACACAGCAGTTAGGGGGATGCTGTTGAAACACATTCTAGTTTACCATTCTTTGGCTCAGAACTCTCAGTAGTTCCCATTTCATTCATCCAATGACCCAAATCCCTGGTTAAGACATGTAAGTCCCTATCCACCCTTGCTCTATCTTCTCCTTCCCCTCGCACTTTGAAAGAGTAGCTTTTAAAAATGCTTACTTATGTAATGCTCTGTGGTGCTATTTTGTTTTCTTTTGATCACCTGTTCTCAGCCGAGCACTGGGGATACAGCTATGAAAATGTATTGCACCTGCCGTGATGAATCTTACATGGAGAGACAGTACACATGGGCGTGAAAAGTTTCATTACATGAATAATTTAATGTAATTGTGATGGGTGCCCTGGAGGGGAAATGAAGGCAGGTTTCTATGGCCTAGTTTAGCACACGATCAAGAAGGCTTTCCTGAGGAAGTAGCAGTTAAGACCTGGAAGATTTATGGGAATTAGATTAATGAGAATAAAAAAAGTCCACAAGGTGGATTAAGGAAAAGGGAGGATGGGGAGGGGGAGAGGAGGCACATCTTGGGATATGCTAGAGAAAAGGCAGTGGCCTTCTTATTCTGGACCACATACAATAATTTCCATTTTATTTTCAGGTCAACTATGAAGATGGAAAGAGAGGAGTCCACAGAGCTGTTCTCTGACCTCCACATGTGCATTCAACACACATATCATAGATCAGACAATAAATTATAATAAACAATTCAAAATGATTAAAGCTAGAAGACTACTGAAATAGTCATGGAAAGCAGTGATGTTAGTTCAGCCTTGAGTGATATCACAGAGATGAGGAAACTCAAGAAGTAGGCTCAATATGATTCCTTGACTTATTTTGCTTCAGGACAAAGAATAAGCAAGAAAGAAAACTCAATCCATGTTGCCTGGTTATAACTGTCATGGGTTAGAGGATAGTTACCCTTAAGTATTGAGATGGGACAGGCTAGAGCAAGAAGATAGACTCCAGAATAATAAGAGAGTTCTTAGTCTAAATACATTTTCAAAGAAGCTATCCTGGCAGAGATGTCACACTGGTGGTTAAATGTGTGTCATCATTATTAAATAAAATTATAGAAATAAATCTTCAAGAAAGGGAGTTTTATTTGAGAGTGAATGGAAAGACAGAATTGTACTACACACACACACACACACACACACATACTGGGTAGTGTCTGGTACATCTAGAGAATTAAGGAAAAGATTATCTTTTTATTGAAGAAAGAGAAAGTAACATAGATTATTTTGGAAGCAAGGTTCAGAATGGAATAATACAAATTATTTTTTGGAGCAAGTTCATATGTCTGGTAATGACCTTTTGGAGATGATAAACTTGGATTGGTGATCAGTAGTAACTGTTAAGTATTTTTGTCATAAAGTCATAGTGGGTCATTTGGCTGCATAGGGCTTGCAAGGAATCCTATGAAACAGACATTTTGACCTACATATTTTCCCCTATGATTTCTCAGCTGTTTCCTTGGCTGTGCCATGAATAACCAACTGACTTGATGGATCTTCTCGGGGTCTAGGGCTGAGAAGGTCTGCACTGGATATTCATGTTTTACTTCGGAAGTAGATATTACCATGAAAATAGTTTAGAAGTAAGGAGAACGAGAGCACCAAAGAGTCCAAATGGTAACAGCCATGCTGAGAATTATCAGAGGCACAAGAGAAGAAGCAAGTAGTAACTAGAAACAACAACAACAACAACAAAAAAACCCAGAGTGTGTGACTTTCAGACTTCTGTTTGTAGATTTGGTATCATTTCTAATCTTTTTCAGAAACACAGCACCTGTAGGTGCTCATTTATCATTCATGCCTCATACATGTATCTACTTCTGTAGGGAAGATGTATTAAAGTGGATGGTTGAGTAATATATATATATATATATATATATATAATTTTGAACTTCAAAGTGTTTGTTTTTAGAAAGAGAAGATTCCTGGGAGAAACCATTGAGCACAGATGGCTTACCCATATTTCTTGTGGCTTCTGCTAATACCAGCTGAACATATTCAGTGGACTGCTATGAAGCAGTAGTCTACAGGCATAGAAAAGTCTGACACTGGCAAGTGGAAGTGGTGGACAAGGCTCTTCATAGTCTTTAAGCTCAAATTCTATGCCATTCATAGAATATTTTCCTTCTGACATAGGTTCTCATTGTAGTCTAGGCTGATGTTGAACTTGTGATCCCCCTGAATTAGTCTCCCAGATGCTAGGATTCCAGCTATCTACCAACACATCCCACTTATATTTTAAACTGTTGTTTTATATGTACATTTACAAAAAAAGAGTGATCTGAAGGTGTTTGCTTTTGTTTCCAGGAGCAACAAGAGTGGATTTCTAATCTTTTTTGTATATGTGGGGTTTGTTTTATAGAAATATCCAGTTATATACACGATATCATGAAACCATTGTACAGAGAACTGCTTCGAATTTGACCTGAACACAAAGATTCATGCTCTTCTTGAGTTTAAGTTATAAATTTAAGAATCATTTAGCCACATTTTCTTAGTGAATAAATCTACTTTGTTGTATCTACTCCAGAGACAAACTTCACCATCATCAGCTTCTCACATCCCCTAAATGTCACTGAGTAGTGTTTGAGGCCCATCACGTTTGAAGACAATTTATTTTCCAATGTGGGAAATTATACTGATGTTTTATTTATGATTTAATAAATAAAGCTTGCCTGAAAATCAGAAAAGCAAAACATCCAAGCCACTACAAAAGTCTTACCTCTACTAAGGTTGGGCAACTGCAGACTGAGCCCTGAGCCTGTCTCCTCCCATCTTATATTCCCCTTTAGTGCTGGGATTAAAGGTGTGATTCTGGTTCTGGTTCTGCATTGATCTTGTGTAGCCCAGGGTGGCCTTGAACTCACAGAGCTCCATTTGCCTCTGTCTCCCAAATCCTGAGATTAAAAGTGTGTGACGCCTCTGTCTGACTTCTAGTGGCTTATTTTTACCTTCTGATCTTCACTTTGCACCCCAATATCTGTCTCTGGGTTTTATTATTCATGATACAGGAAATAGTACCAAGCATATAGGTTTTTTCCTACTTTTGAGAATGACAGAATAATTGTGTGTAAATTCTTAAGAAGTACTGTACTTACTGAGCTATGACAGGTGAAGTTTTCTGCAGATGGTCTCTTTTTGATTAATGCTTAAATGGTTTGTGTGTTTCTTTACTATGAAGAATATTAAAGAGATTCTTAAATTAGTCTTTAAATTTCAAAAACATACCTAAAATGTGCAACTACTCTGTACAATAAATCTGAACATGGTTTTAGTTCTACTGCTAACATTCATTTGCTATATTTTAAAGGGTTTTCATGTTTGAATGTATTCAAATGAAGAAATGAGCTATGGAGGATTGAATCTGACTCCATAACATCTGGAGCATGCATATTTTGGTACATGGGGTGCCATTGAGATAGGATCTATCTATATAGCCCAGGATAGCTTAAAATTCTCTATGTAGTCAAGGCATACCTTGTATTCCCGATTCTCCCACCTCTACCTTCAAAGTGCTGGAATTACAAGTGTAACCCACCACACCTGGCATAGACCATGTATATTTATGCTTACATAATCAAACTATGATCTACTTTCTTTGACATGTCATCTATCCACTTTGATAAGCACAGAGTCATGTCAAAGTTGCCTAGGAACTGTCCAGATTCAGTCACAGCCTTTACATGACCTTAGATAAATTATTTCAGTTCTCAGGACTTCAAGGTTGTAACCCACAATGTAAAGAACCAGACTTGGCATCCCTTCTGGATTTACCTGACTTTGCTTCTAAATTTGGTAGTTTAGGCACATAAATGACAAGACATAGAGTACATTCAACTACTTGTCTCTCTTTCACCATCCTTTCTGAACCTTCACTCTTGTCATTGGGCAAGGCATATTTCCTTTTCTATTGATTTTGGTATTAGCAATATGGCTTCCTTTTGACCAATGAGGTACAACACACTTATGTGTTTGAGCAGTGGGACTTATCCAAGTACACCACTACCACCACCATATTCTTTTGGCTATTCTTTTGGTCTAATGAGGATGAGAAATAAGTACCTGATTTAGACCCTTGGACTTATAAGGAGAAAGCAGAACTCTGCTAGCCAACCTTCATAGACACACAAAAAAAAATTGATTTTCATTTTAAGTCATTGATTTTTGGGGTGGTTTGTTACTTGTCATTGTAATAGCTTAAGAAAGCAGTAATTACTTGGATAAAGAGAAACAGAGAAAGTGGAGTTCCTAGCTCTTTCCTATAGCAGCACAGGAAATGGAGTATCTCCCTTTTCACTTAACTAGTCTCACTAGTAAACAAAATGTGAAGATAAGAATTAATTGGCCCTTACTTCTTATTTCCTTATACTTAATGGCTTGGAATATTTGATAAAATAATTTTGGTAATGGAGTTCTCTAATTGATAGTTTATTAGCAAGATGATCATATATTCCAATTTCTCTACACACATTCTAGTTTGTGTCTGTTTTTTTTTTTAGTGTGAGTGTGTATAATCATGTGTAATCATGGAACTCTCTTCACTTTCAAAGGGAGTCTATCTTCTCCCAAACCATCCCTAGCATGTCTTCCTTACATTACAGGCAATCTGCAGAGAAGCCAAAGATCTCTCTCTTTGTTAGTCCCCAAGCTATCTACCTTCTTGGTGTTCCCTTCTTTTCTCAAACTGAAGAAAACTAAAGTAACTTGGTCGGAAAAGGGTTGAGAAGCCAAGCAATATTTTCCAATAAGTTCATGTCATTGCTGTCAGTATAAAGCCATTGTATGAGCCATTGCACAGTCTGCTTGTTGGCAAGATGGTGGGGTCCACTTCCTATTGTCTAATTAGGGAAACCTGAGCAGAAGAACATATAGAGGATATGCTTTTCAGACAATGAGCAAGATCCTAGATGTTCACAACACTGCCATGTTCACCTCTCATGAGAGATGTTCACCTCTCATGTCCTAAGAGGTGAGAAATAACTGGGCAACAGAATTCAAGGGCCCAGTCTTTGCTTAGAGAAAACAGTAGGCAACCAGAGATGTAGTTCTTGGAGAACTGGTCCCTTCAGAGCTTCCATTTTGCCATGCTGGAGCGCAACATGAGAATGCCCTCTATAGATGCCCCAGGGCTGTCAATCATCCTTTGCCAAAGGCGTTGTTCCTCCCCTCGAGAGTCCATCCAGTCCACATTCTTCCCATGACTGACACCTGTAGAAGAGAAAAGGGGGCACAGCATTTCACACAGGGGCTGGAGCTCCTAGAAGGCCAGTAACAATCTCTGAGGGCCTCTTCTTTGTTCCCATATCTAGTAAGAGGTGTTAAAACGAGTCAGTCTTTTGAAGCCTGCATTACTTCCTTCTGCTTAGGTTGTACAGAGGAACCAGAGTGGCCCCTGATGTCTCATATTCTCCTGACTTTGGTAGAATCAACTCATCAAAACCAAGTCAATGTGAGTTCACAGGCTGCCCTCAGATATGAAGATCTCTGTTTCAAACACAGCTATTTTCTGACCTTGGGGGTTTCAGTTTTACTGACATGTGTATTCCCTGTTCTCCTTAATTTATAAAAAAGTGTCATATAAATGGGGACTTTCTCAACCAAAATGTTGACATGGCATATGGCTGGCATAAGATATGGGGTAAAGAGACTTGGGGTCTTCTAGTGTTAGTTCATGTGCACTTCTAGTGCTAAAGCATTTGACCACGGGGATGTCTCCTTACCTAGTTCACACCTTGTTATATTTTATGACATGAGTTATTTGCTTTCATTCTGTGTTTAGTATTCTATCAATGTGACACACTCAAGTCATTGAGAATGCATCCATCTGATTGGCCTGGGGACAAGTCTGTGGGGGCAGTTTCTTGATTGATGATTGATGTGGGAGAAAACAGCTCACTTGGGGACAGTGCCACCCCTGGGCAGGTGGTCCTGGCTTATATTAAAAATATCAGGCTTAGCAATCAAGTAAGCAGGATTCCTCTGTGGTTCTGCTTCAGTTCTGTCTCAATGTTCCTACCTTGACTTCCTTCCCCAATTCACCGTCATGATAGACTGTAGGCAATAGAGAGAAATAAACCCATTTTTCCCCAAGTTGCTTCTCATCATTGTCTTTATCATAACAATAGAAAGCAAACTAAGAACACATTGTTTGTTCATTGTTGAAGTACTAGACAGAAGTGAAAAGAAGATAAAGTAAAGACAACCTTATGAGGCCTTTCTCTCCTGTCTTGATTTTCATCTGAGCAAAGCCTGAAGACCCAAAAAAGTAGTTGAAATTCCCTTACATGAATGTATGGAAGATTTTTCTATGAAAGGATCAAATATAACATTTCCTCAACTTTAAGCCTAAGGATACAAAGTTGCTACAGACATACATTTTAACAGTGATCAGATCTCCATCTAAAAGAACGAGGCATCTGTGCTATTTCAGGAGCTAGCTGTAGCTCACACTACAGAAAAATCTACAGCACATCACACCTGGAGTAGTCACTCTGTTGCCCCTGCCCAGTCATGTGCCAGCTTCAGCTCTCTCAATTCCTTACCGCTGCCAGAATTTAAACGAACACCTCCTAGAAAGATGTTGCTGGAAAAGGCTTCCTTGTCCCAGATGGTGAGTTCTAGGCAAACATTCTTTATATCCTGAGGATACAGGCCACTGAATATGAATGTATGATTCCATTGAGGATTAACACTCTTTTTGACAACTGCCGTTTTGTGCTTGGTGGCTTTGTTATCATCAGGAAGCAGGTAGCTGTAGAAGGAAACACAGTTACATTGATGGGAAAGTAAAAATGCAATCTTTGAGCTGTCATTTGGATCTCCTACAATTCTGTGTAACTGTATGTGACTACAATATGCATTATTGATGCTCTCTCCCTGAGATCTTGTTTGGAGAGATGTCTAATGCCACAATAGTGGCCCTTTCTCCATTTTCGAATACATTTTTTGTCTTTTCAAATTCTTCCAAATATTTGATTCTCTATCTGGTAAAGAAAAGACCCCTAGTAGTAGTCGCTAGTGTTTGACTTTGTATGTTCTTGTGTGCTTGTATGTATCTGTAAACTGATTTGCAGCTAAAGTGGATAGTTTCTGGAATGTTTTCAGCTTCTCACCCCAAATCCTGTGTGTAACAGGTTATCTCGTTCTGTGTAAGTTGTTCCCTTATGTTCAGAGTACCTAGGGTTACTGAGGACTGAGTGTTTGAAGGGTAATTCTCAAGCAGTGGGGTTTAGAGAAGGGTAATTCTCAAGCAGTGGAGTTTAGAGAAGGGTAATTCTCAAGCAGTGGGTTTTAGAGAAGGGTAATTCTCAAACAGTGGGGTTCAGAGAAGGGTAATTCTCAAGCAGTGGGGTTTAGAGAAGGCCAATGAGCTCTGCAGTTCTTCAAGGGATACTGCTAAGGAACATTACACGGAGTTCTTGCTGCTCTCCTTCCCAGTGGAGCTGAACCCTCCAGCGATAACCTTTCCATTAACAGATCTTTTAAAACTGCTTCCTTCTGTCTTTTGCTTCGTGGTCTATACTCTTTCATTGATGTTTCCTGGAAGCCCTTCTCTAATAGACTACCTGTGCCCTAGGTCTTCTCTACTATGTTCAAACTCTAAGTCTCAAAAACCTTTGTGCCTTCAAAACACCTGGTTTGGGGAAGAAAATGAGTGTAGATGGAATCAGTACATGAAACAATTATGAAAAATACAAGTAAATAGCCCAGGGATAAAGAAGATAATTGGGTCACGTTGTATTTCATTTACTATATTGATCAGCACTAGTAAGTAGAAAAATGACAAAGTGCTTGCTTAGCAAGAACCTGAGTTTGATCCTGGCACTACCACCAAAGAATGGAAAATTAATAAATTAATTCAGAGAACACTGTTATTTCTCAACCTCCATTCTATACTATTTTCTTTTTAAATTCCTTTGTTGTTACCATCCTACATTTTATCTTATTTCAATTTTTTATCCATCATTAAAAAAAACCTGGTTCTAAATTTGAGCACATGTTTCCCCAGAATAAAGACCATAAAGCTATCTTGCAACTCACATAGCCACAGAATTAGGTTCTGGTCAATAGAATACAAGCACCTCTATGAAAAAGTTACAGGAAGCTTCCTATAAGCTTGGATTTGCATAGGATGACTGAACTCTGTATAGCTAGGTATCCTGGTACATGGAGAAGATACCATAATGATATACAAAAACCCCTTTGTCCCTGATAAGCATGATATGTCCACATCTACCCTGGATAAGTTACCTTCAATAACTGTTTAAATGTAAGAGAAAAAGGTTTTTAAATTTTTAATATTTATTTTTAATGTGTGTATATATGTATGGGAGCATGCCATAGCATAGATATGGAAGACAAAGGATAACCTGCAAGAGTCAGTTATCATGTTTTTTTAACAAGAATATTTCAGTTATCAAAATTGGTTTATTAGGTTTGGTGGCAAGCCTATTTCCCTTTATTTGCAGAACCATCTTGTGGGCCCTAATGTCTTTCTTAAGTCATAAATATTTCAGTTCATAAGTAGGGAATATGAAATTATGTAATTTACATACTTTATAACATTACCTATGTATCTGTTCTTGCTTGCTCTCTGAAAAGATATATCAGTTTATCTTTAAGGGTATTTATTTTTATGTATATGAATGTTTTCCCTACATGTATGTCTATGTACCATGTGCAAGCAATGTCTATGGAGACCAGAAGATAGCATCAGATCTCCTAAGTCTGGAGTTAGAGATGGCTGCGAGCTGCCATGTGGGTGATGGGAATTGAACTTGGGTCCTCTACAAGAGCAGCCAGTGCTCTTTACTACTGAACCATTTCTCCAACTCCTTGGATAACTTTTAAATTGGCTTAATATTTAAGTATTCACTGAAAAGTTAGTGCTTAAAAATAGAATGAATTACTGTTCTTTATCATTTGTGCTTCATAAATTCTCAACAAGAGAATATAAAAGCTGTTCCAAACAATATTAACTCATCCCTGGAAGGTCATGTTAGAGCCACAGGCCAGGGACAATATTCTCACCATACAAGACAGTAAGGAGCAGAGTTCTAAACTGAATGTGGGGCTTCCTAATGTGGAGTGTAGCAGTATAACCCAAACAAAGTGTGTCTTTTATGCTAAAGAACACAATTCAATAATGGGGAAACCCTAGTCATCTTACTCTCTTCAATATATGGTTTACTGAAGTTAAAACATATGAGAATAAAGGTATGACTTATTCCCTTGTGGGAAAATACACCCACAGGAGGCCTACCCCTTTCTGAATGGATATGGAGGAGGAGTGGATGGGGTAGGGAGGTAGATGGTAAGATGGTAGGCAGGAGGTGGTGAACAGGAAGAGAAGAGGGAGGAGGAACTGTGGTCAGTATTTAAAATAAATAAAAATGTTAAATAAAAATTTAAAAAAAGATTGTACAACAAAGCAGGATCTCATCCTCTGTCCCCTGCTGGTCTATCACTGCTACATGTAGCCCAGGATGGACACAAACTTGTGATCTTCCTGACTGAGGGTCCACAGTACTAGTATTTCAGGCACTGCCATCAGGCCTGGATCATTTTTCAAAGAGGCAACATCTCTGCTTCAAAGACTCATGCCATGGCTTGGCATCATGGGAACTGACTTTACTTCATGGTTCTCTGTGAGGTCAGCTATCATATCTATTTTTCAAAGATCAGCATCTAATTCTTGGTACATATAAATCTGAGTGTTTGCTTGAATGAATGGAAAAATATTCCTTTAGCCCAGCTTCTTCTAATTACATGAGAAAAGTCTGCAATAGTCAGAAATGAGAGAGACTTGCTATTTGGATTACCTAGAATGAGCAAGAATATCCATTTAAAGGGTAGTATTCCCTCAAGAAAATGTCATTTGCTCCATACGGCAGCAAATGTATATCAGGTAGTCCTGGAGCCTGCCTCAAACACTCTTCAGGGAAGATGCTGAAATTTGTCTGCATTTTACAATTTTCCCCAACAGAGAAAAGCAGCAAGTAGTTAGTATTTTGTTTGGTGCACCAAATGATAACAAAACAAAAATAAAAGTAAATTGTACATAGAAAATCATGTTTTCTTCTCTTTTTAGAAATGAATCTCCTTGGGCAGTCAGGCTGAGAGCGATCCTCACAGTGGCCCTCAGAAATCTGCTGGAGACACAGTGAGAGCCAGAACAGCATCTCTGCCCCACACTCACATTGCTTTAGATGGAAGAGCAAACACGTAAGGGTAGCCTTGCCAAAGTGCATGCAATAAGCGGAACGTGGGCCTCTCACAACTACCATTGTCTACTGGATCACAGCTTCTTTCAGCACCCAGGAAGTGTCATTGGCGATGAGCTAGAACAAAATTACCCCTTCACGAAGCTGTCAGAAGTGCCTCCTGATTTGACTGCTGTCAGATTCTTTGCTTCTTTGATGAACACTTCAAGTATTCCCCCAGAGATGACAGGTGACTCTTTCTTCTTTCCCTTTTTAAAGGTCTTCTTTCCTACATGAACCAGCAGAGAGGAGGTGGAGGAGATCAGAGATTCTACTTCATAATTTACCAAGAACATCTACAAAGAGCTACTTCATTTTCTGACAATCAAACCTTTTTGTCATATGCATGTGTGTGTATATACAAAGTTTCTGTAAAGGAAAAATGCAACGATTCTAAAGGAATAGAATAATGGAAAACATCCTGCCAGGGCCATCGTCTTATTCTATTGTGAAGGCCAGACTCAAGTCCCAGAGCTGCAGGAGAGACATTTCTATGACTTGGATATATTAACCTGACTTCCAAAGGGTCTATTCAATAATCCCCTTTTTATAAATTGTCAGCTTCAGACAGGGTCAGTTTTAGAGGATGTAACCTAGACTCAGTTACATTGTGTGGTTGTAAGAAAACCTTGTCACTTTTAATATTTATTCTGATGTAATAGACTCAACATAAGCAAAAACCACTACATGAATGTCACCTTTACATATATGAACCTATTTAATCCTTACAACCCTCTTTAATTTTTTCCTTTTTTCAGAGATTATATTATAATTATATCATTTCCCCTTTTTCTTTCTTCCCTCCAAACTCCCAAATGTATCCCTCCATTTTTCTCTTTCAAATTAATGTTCTCTTTTTTCATTGGCTGTTATTACCTGCATATATGTACATACATGTTTATTTCTAACTATAACCTGCTCAATCAGAATAATGTTATTTGTATGTATATTTTCAGGACTGACCATATTGCATTGCCAATTAGATGGGGAAACAACCATGAAGTCTCAACCTGCCACAAAGAACTACAGACAGGTGAAGTGAGAAAACTCAGACCAAGAACTGATTTATTTTTACAGGGAAGCACTAAAAATGGTGACCATGAATGGGAAAAAAAAGGAAGCTGCCTAAGACGCTGATGAAAGGAGAAAGAAAAGGAAAATTTCAAATTGATTTTTTCTGGATTCCTCTTTGTTTTCTATGTTTTATGCCAGATATTTCTTTCTTAGACTCCCTGAGTAGCTGTGAATGAGTCCATAGAACAGTTTATTAGAAATACCCTCACACAATGCATCTCTCCCCCGAGGAAAGATTGTGTATCTCTTGGACTGACAGAAAATAATCTCCCCATCAGGGCTGGGGAAACCTAAGTATGGATTTTTGTCCTGTACTTTTCTTCTCCACATACATTATAGCATGTACTTCTTAACTCTCAAAAGATCCCAACTCTATTTTTAATTTTTCTCCCTAGTTTTTATTATACTACAAATATAACACAGTCCATCCAAACCTTAATATCTACTTACACAATTGTAGAAACAGAATGTGACAGATAAGAGGTATTGAGTTTAACCTACCTTGAGGTTGTTCTACTTGGAATATAGGGCTCTCCTCTGGAGGAATGTATCGTAAGACAACTGTTAGCTCTCCTTTGTATTGAAGGCCAATATCAGGAGCCAATTCCACCTAGTCAAGGGGAGATAAGTGAAAAGGATGTTAGAATACTGGATACCATCTTCTTAAATGAAATTCAGAATATTTAGAAAGATAAATACTTCATGTTTTCTCTCACATTTGGAATAGAGGGAGTACACATTTCCTTAGATATTATTTCATCAAGAGACCCGACTCCCCTATGGGGAGGATTCACCTAAGACTCCTAGCAATAGTGAATAAGTAGCCTGAATTGGGCATCTCCTGTGACCAGAAGGGTGCTGGGTCCAATTGTCATGAGAGAGGTGTCACCCAGCAGATGATGGAGGCAGATGCAAAAACCTACAGACAAACATTAGTTGGAGTTTGGGAATCCTGCAGAGGAGGAAGAGGAGAAACGAATGCAGGAGTCTGATGGGTCAAGGACACTACAAGAAAACCCACAGGATCAACTAACTTGGGCTCATAGGGGCTTACAGTGTCTAAACCAACAACCAGGTATGATGTAGGAGGGTCTTCTGTTTTGTGTTGATCTTATTGGTTAAATAAAGAAACTGTCTTGGCTTTTTGATAGGGCAGAAAACTAGGTAGGTGGAATAGACAGAACAGGATGCTGGGTGGAAGGCAGTGAGAGAGACGCTGTGACTCTCCTCTCCAAGATGGATGCTGGTTAAACTTATGCCAGTAAGCCACAGTCAGGTGGTGATACAGATTATTAGAAATGGGTTAAAAGGAATGCAAGAGTTAGCCAGTAAGAGGCTAGAACTAATGGGCCAGGCAGTGTTTAAATGAATACAGTTTCTGTGTTATTATTTCCGGGGCTAAGCTAGTCATGCAGGTGCTGGGTGGGATGAAAAGCAGGCCTGATCGTCTCATCACTACACAGGTAGCCTGCATGAGACTGATATAGGCACTCTGAATATATGTTACAGTTATGTAGCTTGGCCCTCTTAGGGGACTTCTAACAGTGAGAGCAAGAGATGTCTCCAGCTCTTTTACTGACTTTTGGGACCCTGTTTCTTATAATAGGTCATCTTGCCCATTCTTATTAATGGGGAGGTGTTTAGTCTTATTGCAACTTGATATGCCATGTTTCATTGGTATTTTCAGGAAACATGCTCTTTCCTGGATGGAGATGGAAGAGTAGGGAATTAGGGGAGTGGGAGTAGGGGAATGGAGAAGAAGGACTAGGGGGGAGGATGGGGGAGGCTGCAGAGAGGTTGTAAAATGAATAGATGAAAAAAATTCTTTAGAGAGAGAGAGAGAGAGAGAGAGAGAGAGAGAGAGATTTTAACAAATAAAGCTTGTCTGAAGATCGGAATTCAGAGCTAAGCCACAGGAGGCCAGGGAGTGGTGGTACACACCTTTAATTTCAGGACTCAGAAAATAAGCAGAGGGATTGCTGATAATTCAAGGCTACCCTGGGCTACACAAGATTGAATCTGTCTAAAAGAGAAACCGAGCTCATACAAAGATGATTCCAGCCTTTGGAATCACACACCTTTAATCCCAGCATTATGGAGATGAAGACAGGAGTGATATGGCTGGGTCGGGAGAGGAATTGAGGGCTGAAGGAGACAGGAGCTTAGGGCACTCTGAGGTTTGGTGGAGAAAGTTGCAGTCTGAGGTTTGGTGGAGACAGGTTAAGTCTGGAGATGCAGTTTAAGGACAGGATTGCCTCATTGGTAGAGGTAAAATATTTCTCCATTATGCTAAAAAAACACCTAAAAATAGGCTTTGGACTACAAACTGCTCAGAACAATTTGGAGGTGGCTAGCTGAGATGATCTAGCCTCACAAACTACTCTAGCCAGGACTTGAGACAAGCCCTGTGCTTTCTTATTACACAGGAACTGGACAATATATCATTTAGCTACCTCTACCAGGACTTGCCAGTTAAGCCAATTTTTTCTTTTCAGAATATCCCAAAAGATGTTGTCACCTCTAGACAGCAGGAAGTAAATTTAAGAACATGACTCCCACATTCCCAAGATGTGGGGTATATGGTTTTTAGTCTTTCATCGGGTTATGAATATTTGGTTACAAGTTATTATTGGTAGTGGTCAGTAAAAAAGCTAAACAATGGGGTTTATATTCAGGGTCCTTGTTTTGAAAAGAGAATAGGGGTTATAGATATGATAGGATAAAAGGGTAGGTTATTGATGGGGAAGCTCAACCAATCACATCTGTTTAGGGTGTGGCTGCCTGGAGCCCAGGTAGAAAAACCGGAGTAGGTAGGTACACACGCTCTCTATGCGGTGCTCGTTGGACCCATTTGGACTTTGGACCTTTCACTCTGGTAGCATGAGTTCCCCCCTTTTTCAATTATTAAATTATGTCTGTTGTTCTTGAACGGGTCTGGTTATTTATCATACCGACCAAACACACCAACACTTACAGGTTATTAAATCTACTCTAAAAGGAATATCATATCTATATTATATAAGATAAAAAGATAGATTACTGAGTCTACTTTTTAAAAAGCAACTACTAGTTTTAAATATCTTACTTTTAATTGGACTTTTATATATTATATGCAAATTTTGTATATTGATATAAATTTGAGATTAATTTTGTTAGAGCATACTGTGCATACATTTCTACTCTTGTTCAGGTATTGTACCTATACAGATCAATTAACAATGTAATGCAAATTTCTAGTTCTTGAAAGTTATTATTACCAACTATTTAGGATAATAAAGAAATGCAGATTAGTAGTTAGTCACTTGTTATAATTGAACTTGTAGTCATATTGGGCATGTTTTCAAGGTCAAACAGATATATTTTAAATAGACAGGTTATTCTCAAACACTTCAGAGATATACAGAATATGGTATTTAAGATGTTTTAATAACATAGCTTCTTTTATATGACAATGAGACATGTCTGCCCCGGCAGCACCAATCAACTTCAGAGAAGATAATGGGCATCAAAGAAAATCCACATGAATTTTATTTTCTTTGTGGCAAAAGTAAGCCACTGGACAAGAAAATGCCCTTTCCTGGACTGCTGACAATATACTGTTCTTATTTGATAAGCAGGAATGCCAAACCTTGCCAAGACAAGTGGGATAGTGCTTTAAAAAAATCCTGCTTCACTGTAAAGTCCCAGGCTTGTAGACCAAAGAGGGGTGCAGGAACTGGAGAGTCCATACAGAAAGTTACTAATTAGCTTGCTCCTTGTGGCTTATTCAACCTCTTTCTTATACAGCTCATGACTACCTGCCCAGGGCTGGAACTGCTCCCTGTGTGCTCTGCTCCCACATCAATCATTATTCAAGAAAATGCGCCACAGACTTGCCTACAGGCCAGTTTGATAGAAACAATTTCTCAGCTGAAGTTCCCTTTTTTCAGATGGCCCTAGATTGTGCAAAATTGACAAAAAAGTAGCCATTTCATTTTGTAATAAAGTAATATACAAAAGATAGCAAAAATGTAGGGTTATTTTGAAGTCTGCTCTTATATATTTGAATATATTTGATATTCTGGCTTGGAAGTTTTGAAGTAACATGTTGCTGCCATACCATCATTGTCATTATCCAACTAATTTCTCTTCAGAAAAATGTTAGAATTATTTCAGTTTCATACAGGGCCTTTTTGTAAGTGTTATGGGGATGCATTAGACATAGACCTTACTTTCAATAGTGTAATGCTGTCTCTTTAAGAAACAAGCCATGCCTACTCCCTGCAGCCTCTCCCTTGTCATCTTGGCTCTCTCTGTGTGTCCCCTTTTCTTCTCTCTCTCTCTCTCTCTTTCTCCCCCCCTCTCTCTCTCCTTCTCCCCTTTTACCTTCCCCTCCATAATTCAACTAATAAATATTCAATTCTATTCTGTATGATGTGCCTGTTTATGTGCCTCCCACCCCCCACCCCGCTGCCTGCTCACACTACTCTCTGCTTGCCGGGGACCAGCCCTCCACCACATGGCTGGAGACAAGCCACCTTGGTTTGTGGACCTGCTGCCACCGGGACCCCACAGCAAGCTGCTGGGGACTTGCTGCAAAACCATAACAAATAGTGTTTAGAAGCTGTTTTAAACTACCCAATTTCTAACTCATTGAATTAATGTATTATCCTCAGCAATGAATAGGATTACCTCTACAAAGATGCTATTTTTCTTCTGCTCAATTCATGTCCACAGAGAGTCAGCTGTATGAGTCTCTAAGGTTCTTAATGGCAGGCACATTTGAGTGGTAATTATATAACTCAATATTACATAAATTGATTTGTGTACAAAGACAGCTGTCATTATAGAAATTAGGCTTAAATACTCTAGAGAAACAAATGTTTGAATGCCAAGTTGTTGGTTTATGTGTCCTTAAAACTGTAGATTAGAGCAATTATGAATAGTTAGAAAATTTTTCATTTAAAAGCGTTCCTATTTTCCTATTTTACTTTAGATCATTGCATTAGAAATTCTTGAAGATAATGACACCAAGAACTGGCAAACAGACAAGAGACCTGCTTCTCGGCTGTAGCACCACCCCTGTCACCCACTGGACTCTGGCCCTCCAATACCCACTACACCATCCAACACCATGCACCTGAACATCTTCCTTGTGGCCACCCTCCTCCACAACCCCAGCAGACTACACAGACATAGGCACGACATACACTAGTTAGTAGAACAGGTGAGTGACTGACTTTCTAGCTGAACTGCCCCAACATCCAAACCCTAAACCACAGGGCATATCTTTATCCCCTCCCCCTCCTCATCATAGTACCAGCAACTGGGCCCTCCCCCCAACTCTGAATGAATTCCACTGTTCTGGTACAGTCCTCACCAGCCTGCAAGCAGGTGAGAGACCTGTCTCCCTGCTGTACCACCCCCACCACCAACCATTGGATTCTGTTCCTCCAAAAACCACTCTGCTGCTCAACCCCATGAAGCTGAATATCCTCCCAGTGACCAGCCCTCCCCTGCAACCCCAGCAGACTACATAGGCAAGAGTATAAAACACACCAGTTGGAAGAACAGATTACATAGGCACAAGCATGACTCACATCCTTTGGAAGAACAAATGAGTAAATGCCA